TACTATAATACCAGTGGGAAGTGGCTATGGCAAATGGTGTGATAATGGTTCAGAATGACCAGACCTTGGGAAACACAGCATGAGGCCTGGCTGGGCTGGCCGAGCCCAGAGCTGAACCCAGAGATGTAAGTAGCCAGCTTACTGTAGCCTCTGTCCTCTCAGGATAGGGACCGTGCCTCCTCTGTACTCATTTCTCCCTTGCTTTGAGAGCACCATGCCTATCACCAGGGCTGGAGCTAAGGAGAGGCAAATGGAATGAAACAGGAGGCAAGGGGGCAGGGCACAACCTTTGAAAGAATGACATAGCCCGAGGACATGACATAATCTGATTAGAACCAAATGGGTCCAAGATGGCAGACAAGTCGACCCGCACTAGATCTTGAGCCTCAGTATATGCTCACTGTAACACATCAGCAAGCTAAATGGCACCCCACAGGCGCTGTGACAGTTCCAAGACCCACCATAAGGATCAAAAAGTGGAGGTGGCCCAATTCCTGGAAATCCCTGCCCCTTCCTGAGATAGTTGGAATACTCCTCCCACTCATTAGCCTATGAAATTACCCACCCCTATGAAAGTGGCAGGGGAGTGGGGGGTGGTGGTGGTGGGATGAATTGGGAGATTGGGATTGACATGTATACACTAATATGTATAAAATGGATAACTAATAAGAACCTGCTGTATAAAAAAATAAATAAAATTAAATAAAAAAAAAAAGAAATTACCCACCCCTATAAAAACTGACAACCCATACCTTGGTGTCTTTTCTCACCTTCTGAGATGGCCCACACTCTGACTGTGGAGTGTGTTTCTCTCTAAATAAATCCACTTCTCACCTATCACTTTGTCTCTCACTGAATTCTTTCTGCCATGAGACATCAAGAGCCTGAGCTTCATTAAGTCCTGAAACCAGGTGTGTGATCTCAGTTGGAAGACCATGGGTTTTGGCTGGGTTCGAGTCCCGGCACATGGGTTCAAGTCCCAATCTGAAGTGTACAGTTTTAGGACCTAGGGTGCAAAATTTAAGGAGGTGCTCATTCTTGGGGTCTGACAAGTGCCCTAGGTACCTCCCTTGCCTCACCTTGATCCCGGCCTAGCTGGTCACAACAAAGAGGCTGAATTTGAAGCAGTTATTAATTACCTACTGTATGCAGGGCCTCATCCTGGGGGCCATGGTGGTGATATAGCTAGTTTTCCATTGTGCCTGAGCCACTCTCTTGGGTAGTCATACCCACCACAGGCAACTTGAGAGTAATATTAAAATGTCATGCAGGTTAATTGCTGCTGCTGAAGGATGAGACAAATGCATCCCAGCCAAGTTGCCACAGTTACCCCAGCCAAGGCATCCTAGACGAGCTGACAGCCAGCCAGCCTACCCCCAGACTTAAGGGCAAGCACAGTCAAGGTCAGCAGTCATTAATCCAGCACACATTCAATCACAAACTCTACGTGAGCCCAGCAAAGATCTGAAGTGCCCAGCTGACCTGCAAATTCACGAGCTAAATAAATGCTTATTGTTTTAGCTCTTGAGTTTTGGGTTGGGTTTGTTACACGCCATTACTTATTTATTTATTTATTTTATTTTTTTGCGGTACGCGGGCCTCTCACTGTTGTGGCCTCTCCCGTTGCGGAGCACAGGCTCCGGACGCGCAGGCTCAGTGGCCATGGCTCACGGGCCCAGCCGCTCCCCGGCACGTGGGATCCTCCCGGACCGGGGCACGAACCCGCGTCCCCTGCATTGGCAGGCAGATTCTTAACCATTGCGCCACCAGGGAAGCCCCTATTGGTACTGTTTTATGTTTTATTTAACTGTTAACTTTTTGAGTCCTTAACTATCTTGCTACAATAATTTTTAGTAGTTGAGCTTCATCATAAGGCTATCTAGTAATTTAATCAGTCCCTTGTGGATACATTTTCAATTTTTCTGTTATATTCTATTATAAACACAGTGATGAAGAGCCTTGTAGTTAATTTTTTGCAAATATCCTTAATTAATTTAAGCTGAATTCTTGAAAGTGGCAGTTCTAGGTCAAAGGGTATATAATGTATGTTTCTAAGGTTCTTGATACATGTTGTAAAACTGCTCTCCTCAAAGGTACCAATTTGCCCTGCTGCCCACTGTGTTTACATTGTTTTAATCCATTAGGCTTTTCTGTTGTTGTAAAATGTTTAGCTCCCTGTACTTCTTCTGGGGCCTGGGGAGAGATAGCAGGTGGGGAGCTCAGCTTTGGGGTTTTACCACATGCAAGGAGCTTCTCTAAGGGCTTTGTAGGAATTATGCCATTTACTTCTCTCTATAATTTTTAATTGATTAATTAATTAATTTTTGGCTGTGTTGGGTCTTTTGTTGCTGTGTGCAGGCTTTCTCTAGTTGCAGCAAGCGGGGGCTACTCTTCGTTGCAGTGCACGGGCTTCTCATTGCGGTGGCTTCTCTTGCTGCAGAGCACAGCCTCTAGGCGCGCAGGCTTCAGTAGTTCTGGCATGTGGGCTCAGTAGTTGTGTCAGATGGGCTTGGCTGCTCCGCGGCATGTGGGATCTTCCTGGACCAGGTACTGAACGGATTTTTAACCACTGTGCCACCAGGGAAGTCCCTCTCTATAATTTTTAATGTCAGTACTCTTATTACCCACCCCCCTTTTTTTCACTTTTTAAAAACTGTGGTAAATATATATATATATATAAAAAACATAAAATTTGTCATTTTAGCCATTTTTAAGTGTACAATTCAGTGGTATTAATTATATTCACAATGTTGTGCAATCACCACCATTTCCAAATTTTTTTCATTGCCCCAAATAGAAACTCTGGACCCATTAAACAATAATTTTGCATTCTTTCCTCCCACCCTCTATTACCATATATCTGTGACAAGGAAAATGGAGGCACAGAGAGGCTAAGTAAAATAATCAATGTTACACAGCAAGTAGGCACAGAAGCCCCAATCCAGACCTGGCAGTCCGGCTTTAGCCTCCTTCTGAATCGCTTGTGTTGCAGTTTTATTTTTTATTCTTTTTGGTTGCCCTGTGCGGCATGTGGGATCTTAGTCCCCCAACCAGGGATTGAACCTGTGCCCCCTGCATTGGTAGCATAGAGTCTTAACCACTGGACCACCAGGGAAGTCCCCCATTTTTTTTTTTAATTAAAAAAAAATTTTTTTTGGCCACGCCACGCGGCATGTGGGATCTTAGTTCCCTGACCAGGGATCAAACCCGCGCCCCCTGCATTGGAAGCGCACAGTCTTAACCACTGGACCATCAGGGATGTCCCCAACTTTATTATTTTTTTTAAAGCCCAAAGTTTCTGGTTACACGTTCTGATAAGTCATTTCTTTCTCATTTTCCCCCAAAGGAGAAAAGGAATAGCTTTTCTGAAGAATCTTGAATTTTACTCCTAAGTTCCTAAACCCAGTTTCCTTCAAGCGAACTTTGAAGTTGTATCTACTTGGGTGATAAGGGCAGGATTCAACTACACCAAAGGGACCCGTTTACCTGTCTTGCCCTGTGGGGCCTGGTGAGAGCTGGAGGGCCGCAGGGGGTTCCTGCTTTCTACAGCCACCAAACTCTCCCCCATGAGATCCCTAATCCTGGGAGCCCTCCTCAAATGGGCAAAGATTATGCCTAGCCACCAGAGCTGATGAATGGGATTCTCTCTCCTTCCTCTCCTAAAGGAATGGCACTGAAAAAAAACATGGCCTTTGGAGTTGCATGAGCCTGGACTTGAACCACAGTCTTGGACAAGTTCTTGTCCCAAATCTGTGTGCCAAACTGAAAAGGTGTGAATAACACCACCTACCTGTCAGGGTTGTTGGGAAAAGCAAATGGGCAGCCTAGCACAAGCAGGGCCTCAATGAATGTTAGCCAAGGCTTAGCAGCTCAGTGCCTGCTCCTTGTTCAAACCTTTACACAGCACCCTGTTGGGGACCAACAACATTGGCTAGTGCTGCTGCTTCTCTGACGGCTTAGAAACTGATTCAGGGACTCTCTCTAAATCCTGATGTATCCCTTGGGCTGGCTGTGCCAATGTTCACACGACTCTTAAAGGAGCATTCCAGCTCTACTACTTCTTGGCTATACAATCTGGGGCAGTTTGACCCATCTCTGCCTCTGTTCCCTCATCTGAAAAGTAGAGAATTGGGTTCCCCACGTCATTGGATTGTTGGATTAAATGGATTAAGATATGTAATGCATTTAGTGCCTGACATACAGTAGAAGCATTTGCTATTACTGTCATCCCCAGTGTCACCTTCCCTTGTTTCTTCACCAAATGTTGCCTTACACCTGCGGAAATGGAGAAGGCACACATAAAAGCAATCCATTGGTCTTGGCATTCTATTATTCTCCTTGTACAAGTCTTGGATAAATGAGGTAGTCTCCCTACTCTCCCTTCCAGTGACGGGGGTGGATTAGAGCAGATCTTCTTGCTTCACATTCCTCCACTGTCATCAGGCTAGGCTCCCTGACTCCCAACCCATCCTTTGCTTCTTTCAGTAAAACCCATTCCAATTGGGGAATTAGAATTAATCTCTGTCTAAATTAAAGGCTGGGCAGGGAGCCATGGCGGGCTGTGATGGGCAGAGGCTGTGCAGGTGCTGCTCCGGGAAGGCAGCCCTGGGGCCTCCTGAGGGCTCCATTCATAAGAAGTTTCCAGGAACCTCCTGGGCCACTTCTAACCGCTAGATGGCCAAGCTACAGGGTGATTATTTCCTTAGGCAAGCCAGCACTTCAGCCCTCTAATATGGTATTTCCTGGGGCTGGAATATCAACAGGAAGTCCTGTGGGGAAGAGCTCTGCCAAAACACTCATTCCGAGAAAGGGATTGGTAAACTGACAAATTTGCCCAGCCCTGTACAACATTCTGCAACTTCCACACGCAGGCTCTGCTGCAGGCTTCACCCACAGGCAGATCGCTGCTGTCTCTAGTCTTCTCTGGATTCCTGAGCCAGGGAGACTTATAGATGTGACCCTAGGTGAGAAACCCAGACAGAAATTTGCACTTAAAGAGCAGTTAAGCTATTTGTTGGCATTAGGAGAGCATTCTTTTAAACGAGAGAAAGGACTCTGAACACTAAAATCTCATTCACTTTATGAAAACTTGAGACCAAACTCTCCAACATCTGTACACAGCTTAATCACGAACAAGCGCAAGAATTCGGGTTAAATACAAATTAAACTAAACTGTCCTGCTACAAAGAAATGAAAGGAAAGCTGGGGGCGGGGTAGCCCCCCCCCCGCCAAAAATCATTGCTTTCACACTACAATGTTTCGGGTACAAGAATGTAACAATTCCCCAGGGCAGCGCAAAACCGCTTCCCATTGTCTCTTAAGGCAGTCATTTAATTACCAATTGTCCAAAGGCTAAGAAAATTTTGTGGAAAAAGGGCGTACCCTTTGGCTCTGTGAGGGCCTGTAGCTGAGGAGCCAAGTTCTTGGCTGACACACTCTCGGTGAGGGCGCCTTCACAGAATCTCAAGCATCAGGTCTCAGCTTCCCCATCAATAAAATGCAGTCCTGGCGACCGCTAGGCTTCCAGATCGAAGTCATCACGCTCCTCATTGTACTCCAGCACGTGCCGCTTGATCTTGGACGAGTCAACCCAGGTGACGAAGTCCTCCATGCTGCGCGTGACAAGGAAGGCGGGGTCGGTGACCACGTCGGGGCCCACGCGCACGTGACCCTGCTCCACGAATGCCACGGCGGCCTGGAGGTGCTGCGCCATGCGCAGCTTAAGGAGCACGGTGGGCAGGCGGCGGCGGCAGAAGGACGAGGCCGTGACGAAATCGCAGAGCTCCAGAGACCCGCGCGTGGGGATTAGGCCGAGAGCATACAGTTTGTCCAGCAGCGCGGCCGAGGAGCGCACGCGAAACGGGTCGCGCTCCGGCAGGTCCCGCAGGCGCCGCGCCAGCTCGCGCACAGCACGGCTCAGCTGGTTGTAGCGCGTGTAGTCCTCGCGCCGTTGCAGCCGATAACGCCGCAACACGCGCAGCTCGTGCAAGTTGTGATCGGTGACCTCCCAGTTCAGGAAGTCCACCTGCTTCAGCAGCTTCTGCTCGTGGAACTTAAGCTTCCGCACCATGACGGCGGCTTGGATGCTGCAGGACCCGTGGCTCAGCGCGCGTTCCGGCGCCCGCGCGACTTCCGCCTCAGCACTGCTAGACCGGGCCTGGGGACCCTGGGCCAATAAAAGAAAGGCTCAGTGCTACGCCCTCTGTTTCCACTGGTCAGGGTGGGGCCACGCCCCGCGTCCGTATCTCGCGATTCTTCTCTTCTTCGCGTTCTCTGAGGGAGGCGGGGAAAGAGCGCTGGTAGACACCTGGGACGAGAGGGGGGGCCCCAAAGACGAGTCTGCGCGGTTTTAAGTCGTCTAGAATTAATCACCTAGTGCCGTAATTATTTCCTCTCATTTAGATTTCTGCCATTCAGTGCCTCTCTGAAACTGGCTTAAGAGGCCAGTTCCGGGAAAGGGGGGTGACTGTCGCGCTAGTTTGGTTGAATTTACTGTGCTGACCGTGGCGGGCGGGGGCGGTCCTCCCACCTCGCGGCGGGCTTCCCCGAGCCGGCCGGGGCTGATCGGGTATGCCCACCGCCCACTAGCGCCAGGTCCATTAGCAGGCGGGCGGAACGGTTTCTCCCTGCCAAGTGGGGCTAGGCGCCACCGAACCTATGAAATACCGATTCCCAGGCTGCTTCCTACACCCACAGAATCGGGATCTACACCGGAGTCACCTGGAAATCTGTATTGTTAACAAGAATGCCAGGTGATTCATAAAACCCAGTAAGTTTGAAAAGCTTGGATAGTACAAGTGCTGACCCTTTAATCCGGGCTCAAACGAATTAGCTTGACAGGGTGCATTTCTGGTGCCGAGTATTTAGTTAACTTAACACTTTTTCTGCTAGTTATATCTGTTTTAGCTTAGTGTAGCGCTACAGGACTAACTTCTTTATTTGCCCAAGACTTTGACGCCACCTAGCTTCTTCGCCTATCATTTTGTTTTATTTTTGTACGCTTCTCATTGTTTTTTTAAAATATAATATTTGATATATGGAATATACTATATGTAAGATACAAAGTATAATGAATACTTGTGGACCCAAGAGCCAGTTTAAGAAAGCATCACCAGGACCACTTCATCTACATATTCCAGCCACTCCCGCAGTGAGAGGTAAAGGTATCTACTCTCCTGAATTTAGTGTTTATTTTTACCTTTTGTTTAAAAAGAAAAAATTTTTTAATTTAAAAAAATTTAAAAAGGAAAATAGTTTTATCATTGTAAATGCATCCCTAAATACTGAGAACCTTCTTACTCAAAGTGTAGTCCATGGATCAGCAGAGAGCTGTTGGAAATGCAGAATTTCAGGCCCCATTTCTGGCCTACAGAATCAGAATCTGCATTTAACCAGACCCCCAGGTAATTTGCATGCACACTGACATTTGAGAAGTGTTGCTTAGAAGACATCACATCGTGTGGAGTTTTTTATCTGTAGCTGCAGTTTTTTTTTTTAACTGTTGCATTATATTCCATTGTTTGGTTCTATCTAATTTATTAATCCATCTCCTGTTGGATTTTTTTGGAGGGAATATTTTTAGCAGTGCTACTATTAAAATTCTTGTAGGTTTCCTGTTGCACATATGTAGTAGCTTCTGTTGAATAGTATACATCTTGAAGTTGAATTGCTCAGTTGTAAAGTATGCATGTAAAGTATGCATGAACATGTGAAGTGCATGTTGAGCTTTACTAGATATTGCCAAATTGTTTTCCAAAGGGGCTGTACCAGTTTATATTCCTTTGACAGTGCATGGGAGTTCCCTTTGCTCCTCATTCTTGACAACACTTGGTTGTTAGATTTTTAAAATATTTGCCAATCTGATGAGTGTGTGATGGTATTTAACTGTGATTTTAATTTGCATTTCCTGATGAATAAAGGTTTCATATGTGTTTCCTCCTCTATAGAATGCCTCTTTGTGTCTTTTGTGTATTTTTCTATTGGATTATGGGGTAAGTAGAATAATGGCCCCCCAAAGATGTTCACCCAGAACCTGTGAATGTTACCTTACATGAAAAAAGGGATTTTGCAGATGTGATTAAATTAAGGATCTTGAGACCATGACATTGTCCTGGATTAACTGGGTGAGTCTCATGTAATCACAAGTGTCCTTATAAGTGAAAAAGGGAGGCAGAAGAGTCAGGGAGATGTGGTGATACATACAGAAGTCTGAGGTGTGATTGCTGGCTTTGAAGATGAATGGGGGCCATGAGCAAAGGAGTGTGGGCAACCTCTAGAAGCTGGAAAAGGCAAGGAAATGGAATTTTACTTAGAGCCTCCAGAAGGAACACAGCCCTTGCTGACACCTTGATTTGAGCCGAGTGAGATCCAGTTTGGATTCCTGGTCTCCAATACTGTAAGATAATAAATTTGTGTTGTTTTAAGCCACTAAGTTTGTGGTAATTTGTTACAGCTGCAATAGGAAACTAATACAGACTGTTTGCTTTTTTCTAATTGATTTGAAGGTGTACTTTGTATGTTCTGGATATTAGTCCTTAATCAGTTATCTATGGTGCAAATACCTTTTCCCAGTTTGCACTTTATCCCCACCCTTCATACTCCCCCAGCCTCACTCCCTTCTATCTTCAGCCCTTGCTCAATGTGTCTGCAGGAGGACTCTTGGTTAACTTCCTTCTCCCCAGACAATAAACATAATAAATAAGTAAACTATATATGTTAGCAGGTGATAAGTGTCATGAAACAAAACTGAGCAGGATATAGGAGAGCTTGGGATGAGGACGGGCTGTAATTTTAAGCAGGGCATGTCAGGGTAGGTCTTACTGAGAAGGTGATATTTCATAGGGGGTTAGCCATGTGGATATCTAGGGGAAGAACATTTCAGGAAGAGGAAACAGTGAGTGCAAATGCCTTAAGACAGGAGTGTGCCTGGCATATCAGAAGAAGAATAACGAAGTCATCTTGGTTGGAGCAGAGTGCTCTAGGGGGTGAGGAAAGGGGGCTCAGATAACAGAGGCTCCATAGGCTCTTTTAAGGACTTTGGTTTTTAGGTTAAGTGAGATGAGGACACTGAAGGGTCTTGAGCCGAGAATTGACATCTAACATGTTTGAAAAGGATCGCTCTGACTGCTGTGTTGAGAATAGACATATTCTTAGGAGGCAGGGCTGGAAACATAGAGGCCATTAGGAAGCTGTTGTGGTGGTGCACGCAAGAGAGGTGGTAGCTGGGATCAGGAAAGCAGTTGTGAGATGCCAATGAGAGAGGAGTCCCAGAATAAGGAGAGGGTCAAAGGATGGCTCCAGTTTTGGACCTAAGCAAGTGGAAGAAAGTACTCATCACCTGAGATGGGGAAGGCTGCCAAATAGGTCAGATTTGGGGGGCAAGATTAGAAATTCAATTTTGGACATGTTCGGTTGGAGATGTCTATTAGACATTCAAAGGGAGATGTCAAGGAGAAAGATATGTGAGTCTGGTATTTTATTTTTTGCCAAACCTTGCGGCATGCAGGATCTTAGTTCCCCGACTGAACCCGTGCCCCCTGCAATGGAAGTGCGGAGTCCTAACCACTGGACCACCAGGGAATTCCCTGAGTCTGGTATTTTAGGGAAAGGCCTGGGCTGGTGATTTAAAATTTGGGGTATTATTGGTAGAAAGATGGTGTTGGATGCCATAAGCCTGGGTGAGATCGTCAAAGAAGTGAATATAGAGAGAAAAAGACAAGAGGACCACTTAACTAATAGTCCACTCTAGTGTTAAGAATTATTGGAGAGGGGCTGCCCTGGTGGCGCAGTGGTTAAGAATCCTCCTGCCAATGCAGGGGACAGGGGTTCGAGCCCTGGTCTGCGAAGACCCCAAAAGCATCCAATAAATAAATCTTAAAAAAAGAAAAGAATTATTGGAGAGAAGCGGATGAACCAGTGTAGTAGAAGGGAAACCGGGAGAGTATGGTCTCTCCAGTGCAAGTGAAGACAGTGTATCCAGGGGGAAGTAGTGAGCAACCTGGTCAAATGCTACTGAGAGGCTAAGAGGAGGGCTGAGAATAGCCAATAGGTCACTGATGACTTTGATAAGCATAGTTTCAGTGGAGTGTGAGGGTGAAAGAATGGCTAGAGGGGTTTAAGAAGAGAAAGGGAGGAAAGATGTTGCAGGCAGCTAGTAGAGATGGCTATTTTGAGGAATTTGCTGCAAAGGTGAGCACATAAATGGGGAAGTAGCTGGTGGGGAAAGTGGAGTTGAGAATCTATGTTCTAAAGATGTGGGTTGACTTTTCCCTCAATACCTACATCTTGTTGGTTGTCATTCTAGTCTGTTCTACCCCCATAGAATCTCAAATTTACTTCTCCCCAGCCCATTACCCCTGCCCTACCTCAGGCCCTCATCATCTCTTGTCTGCATCACTATAGTAATAGTCCAGTGTGTTCACCACGCTGCCACCAGCGGAGTTAGCCTGGAAACCACTGGCCACAGCTCTCCCTTGCTGATTCCTTTCCTAAAGGAGGAAAGTTATCTATCTGGATGGGGGATGGATGCTGTTTCCTGTGTCCAAATCAGGGTCCCATCAGGAAAGAGAGAACACACTCCAATTAGAGTAATGTGAGGAGAATTTAATAAAGGGACTTTTTCCAAAGGCATGGGCAGGGTGTAGGGAACCACAAAAGTTAGTGCAGTTGCCTGAGATTAGTAACTGCGGGCCCTGTTACCCAGAGATTTGAAGAGGGTTGGAAATAGAAGATATAGGTTCTGGAAATCTCTGTGAAGCTGCAGAATGAGTTTCCCCCAAGAACCTGGAAATAAGGTGGCCACTGTGAGATAGAAACCACCCTCCCTCCACCCCTGAACAGATATGAGAGTAAATCCAAGGTGTAAATGTGCATAAATATGTGACTGAAGTATTTGGGAACCAACTAAAGACCACCAGGGTGGTGGCTGGGGGCCCCTCAGTGGGGTGGGGCTACACTAGGCCCCTAGCTGGGTGAGCAGAGATCCCATCAATTGTATTAAGTGAGCTAATAAAGGTAAAATGTTTACAGGAGTCTAGCACTCAGCAAGCACTAAGGAAGTAGCTGCTACTCTTAAACCCAGCTTGGAGAGAGGCTCTGCGAACAGAAGATCAAAGAAAAGGGGTGCCCCCAAAGCAGCTGGGGAAACAT